CGGTGGCGACCCGCCGCCCGTGAGCTCCGGGGCGAGAAAAGCCCAGTTCGTAAGTGCGGATCCGACATAAGTCGGATCCGCGTAAGTCGGGGACTGCCTGTAGTCAACTGTGCAAATAACAAGTTTAAGTAAAGGAGAGTTATCAGTGCGAGAAAAGTGGGATAAACAGTGCTAATCTTTAGTAGGTATGTAAATGTGCTGTATGATACCTGGAAAGTCTTTCATCTTCATACTGTACATTTCTTTTCCTTTAGGATGCAAGTCCTGTTTCCTTCGGAGATTTTCCATCCAGCCTGCCCAGCAGAGAAAGATTCCAAACCGGTACCTGGGCCAACCCAGCTCCTTCACACATCCACATCTTCTCAAACCAGGTTAAGGATCATGAGCCATGGTAGTTCGCCAGTAGCACCCATCCTATGTTTCTGTGAGGAAGTACCTTAGTTAGCTGCATCATATAAAGGGAACTGTAGCTTGGCCTTATCATTTATATTTACTTTTATTCCAGTAATTTTATTCCTTTTGGAATCTCTGTTCTGAAACAAACATCTGATTCCAAAGAGAGGTTAGGTTCCAATATCTTAACTGGTAAAGTCAGATTATGACTAGTCTACAGGATTTTTTTCAAAAAAAAAGGGGGGGGGCCTTTTTTCGAAAAAACTTCACCTGTGTCTAAACCAGTATTTCTCAATCTTCTTTTTATAAAGTACCCCTTTTAAAAAAAAAAAGGTAAGTACCCTCAGTACTACAGTTTTCAGATACACACATTTTTTTTTCTACCATTGCAACACATTTGTTTAAACAACTTAATTGTAGCAGGCGGGCTGTGAATTTTGGGGTGTAAAAAGTACAAAAATGGGCGGTGAATTTTGGGGTGTAAAAAGTATAAAAAAAAAAAGTAAAGTAAAACTTAAAACAAAAATTCAGTTTTCTTCAAGTTTCAGTTGTGTTGATGGACCCCCCCAGACTTCTCTCAAGTACCCCTAAGGGTATTCGTACCACTGGTTGAGAAACACTGCTCTAGATTGCCTCCGTGTTCTTTTAAAATTAAATCAAAAGAACGCAGAGAGTTTTTTTTCGACAGTGGTAAATCTCATTTTACAAGGAAGAACACCTTTTTTCGAACGTGGCAAATCTCATTTTACAAGGAAGAACACCTTTTTTCGAAAGAGCTCTTTCAAAAAAAGGCGTTCTTGACCACAAACAGGGCTTTTTCGAAAAAGTTGTGGATGTATAGAGATGATCTCTTTCGAAAGAAGCTTTTTCAAAAGATTCTTTCGAAAGAAGCGTGTAGTGTAGACCTACCCTAAGTGGCGCTTCCTTTGTTGGCTATCCTGTCAATATAATCTCATTCTTTTTTAGCATCCCTTGCACACTCTGAATCACAAAAATGTTTCATAGACAATACTCTATGACTCAAAGAGAAAAGGGAGGTTTTAAGAAGTGAGATATAAAGAGGAGGATGTAGCTCAGAAGTTAGAAGGCAGAATTCAAATAAACACGACAGCACACATCTAAAGAGCGCTTCCCTCCTTTACCCCAACTACAAAGGGGTATGTAGTGTCCTTTTAAATTAGAGGGATACAGTAGGGATCAAGAGAGCAGATGGAGTTGTTGCACCATTGTGAGATCAGAAAGGTAGACTGGAGATCAGTGAAAAAGTGTAAAAATTATATATAAAGCTAATAATTCTGTAATTGGTTAACAGTTCCCACATAATCAAGGCTGGTATTGGAAAAAGTAAATTTACTGAAAAGTTACAAATTCAAAAACGTAAAATAGCTAGTCTTGTAAATGGGTATTGATTTATATAAAATAATAATTGAACATTTGCTGTCATTTTGAAAGCCTAAAATAGCATAGTTAAGGATAAACAAATTTACAAATTCTGTTGGTATAAGCATAATGCAGTGAAACTTCCAAATTGCACCAGCCTTAAACTTCACCAGACCTGCAGTGTTTTGTATGAAGTCCATTGGAATGAGATGGAGCATTCAGAATTTCAAAATTCCGTGGTGGATAACTCGTGAATTCAGTATCTGGCATAACAGAAATATATCTGTTTCCACTTCTAGGGTTATATGCTAAAATAAATATGAGGTTTCTTAGATCGAACATGTTTTGAGATGTTTGTATTTTTTTAAAAAGTTTAGAATTAAACACCCATTTTTTCAAAGCCCCTTCCTCAGAAAAATAATTTCCCCCCAAATTCTCCTCTGGCTAAAAATAAAAAGTGCAATTTTTTTGAAAGCAGTTGTTGAAGGAGGCTGAGGAGTGAGGTTATATTTCAAAACATGTTGCAATTTTAATCATGGAGTCATTATTACATAGTCTAGTAAATACAAAAAGAACTAGAAATTAGAATATGAAATATGTATCAAAATAGAGAAGACATCAGCTAAAATACCCCTTAAAACTTGCATAATGTTAGTTTAAGTCATAGTTAAATTAGTCACTAGTATTCTTAAAATACTTAGGCTGTTCTTACGTCTTCCCTCTGGTTTCAGTGAGAGTCTCTTGTTCTCTGTAATTTTTACCTGCTAGTGAAGGATGACGAAATATGTAGTCCTGAAAGAGAACTTGTTTCCCTGGAGTTACTGGAAGTGTAGCTTTTCATGTTCAACAGAGCCCACCTTATTAATCAATGGGAGAAATTATGGAAGAGGTTCTTTGCTCAGTCAAATATTCTGACATCATCCTGGAAGGCCTGACTTGTTTCTAAATTGAGTCCCTTGATTGGTTAAATGTTCAAGGACAATCTCTCTCTCTCTCTTTCTCTGATCTCATGTGACTCCTGTAAAACTGACATGGCCTTTTACACTTTAGAACTAACATATGTATAACTTGACATGGCACCAGAATGTCTCTCAAAATACAGCCTTATCTGATGAAATTAAAACTAGACTTAGCACCATAGTCTTCTGTTCAATGTCCAGGTGCCATAAAAGTTGACAACTTCCAAACAGGGTTAAAGTTTAGCTTGCTTTCCAGCGCTTTTGTGCCTTCCCCACCCAGTAGTCCTTCTCTGGCTTTAGTTTGCTCTCAGAATGCTTTTGGGGTTTTG